AGAGCCACCCACCCGATGCCCCCCAGCCCACCCCCTCTTCCCGGGACCAGGCTGGCGGCTCCCGGGAGCTTGCCCAGGACCGCAAGAGACGGGCACCCACCTGCTCCGGTGCAGACATCGTGGACCTTGTCCACGACCTCTGCACTAGACACAGGAAAGTGGCCGTCTAGGGCAGGAGAGCTGCCAGCCTGGCCACCCAGGAGCAGGTTTGCATGAAAATCAAGGTGGTCCAGTGAGCCCCCCGACCCTGAGCCCTGAGCTTAGAATGGCCGTACTGGGTCAGACCAAAGGTCCCTCTAGCCCAGTAGCCTGTCTGCCGACAGCGGCCAACCGTAGGGACCCTGGAGGGGATGGCCCGACGACAGTGACCAAGCTATTTGTCTCGTGCCATCTCTCTCCAGCCTTCCACAAACTTCGGGCAGGGACACCATTCCTACCCCCTGGCTAATACCACTCCATGGACCCACCCTCCATGAATTGATCTCACTTCTCTTTAAACTCTGTTCTAGTTGTAGCCTTCACAGCCTCCTGCAGCAAGGAGTTCTACAGGTTGACTATTTGCTTTGTGAAGAAGAACTTTCTGTTATTCATTTGAAGCCTGCTACCCATTCCTTTCCTTTGGTGTTCTCTAGTCCTACTATTACGGGAACTAATGAAGAACTTTTCTTTATGCACCCTCTCCACACCACTCATGCTTTTATAGACCTCTATCATATCCCCCCTCCGTCTCCTCTTTTCTAAGCTGAAAAGCCCCAGTCTCTTTAGCCTCTCTTCATATGGGACCTGTTCCAAACCCCTGATCATTTTAGTTGCCCTCCCCTCTCCCAGCCTCTCTCTTCCCCTCTCCCACCTCCTTTTCCCAGTCTCCCCTAGTTTTGTTCAATAAAGAGAGATTCTATTTTTGAACACAATTGTCCTTTATTTTGTACATCAGGAAGGGGGGCTAGAGAGGGGAAAGTGGAAGGAGGTGAGGGAGGAATGGGGTACGAGCCCCCGATGGGGAGGACTGGACTGGCTCTGTGGGCTTCTGGGGGTGGAACCTCTCCTGCAGCCCCCCAATTGCCCCCTCTCCCCAGATGGCAGCCTGCGGCAAGTGCAGCCGGTCTGATGGCCGAGTGCTGTGATGTTCCCAGTGTGGGTACTCCTGGCAATCCAAGCCAGGACTGCTTTGCAAGTGGGGCACCCCTGAGAACTGTCTGTCCGAGGTGGGGGTCGGGTCCCTTTAAGCACAGCCCTCGGCTAGCCTGAGACAGCAGCTCCACGCTCTAAGTCCTCATCTGATGCCCTGCCGGCACTGCTTCCGGCCATCCTTAACCCCGGTTCAGGGTCCACTCTGTGTGGACATGCTAGTTCGAATTAGCAAAACGCTAATTTGAACTAGTTTTTTAGTCTGGATGCATTAGTTCGAATTAGCGCTGTAGTGTAGACATACCCAATGAGACATGTTCTACAGAATTTCTTTACCAATATATAATATTTAATAGAGAATTGTGTCCCTGCTGTAGAATTTTGTTAAAAGTTTTGAAAGAAAGCTACAGACATACTCTCTTGACTTCATAGATATGGCCCATAGAAAGGAGATATTTTATATATTTGAACTGGAAAAAAAGCCAAAAGAGTGACTGAGGCTAGTTCTCTTCAATCACATCATTGTAGAGATGCAGAGCCTGATCTTCAGGAGGTGTAAATCAGACTAGTTCACCTGAGGTAAATGGCATTATGCTGGTTTACTCCAGATGGGTCTTGGGGCTCAGTTTTGCTCTCCCATATGTGATGTAATTCCCACTGACTTGAGTAGAAGGTACGCCCATGTATTCAAGGCAGAATTTGGTAAATAGTTGGTATGTTTATGGTATGTTTATGGTGGATCAATTTTTTATATAGACATCAGAGAAATGGTTTATATAGACATCAGTCATAATATGCTAAGACAAGAGTCAAAGCCAGCAGCATACTGCTTCAGTAAAAGTCAGCATATGGTGTGGTCTCATTTGAAAGTTATTCACATATAAAATAAATAAGCCTCAGAGAATGTGTTTGTTTGCTCTCAAAAAGAATTGGCAAGGTTAACAAGCTCCTCCCTGGCAAACAATTTATGTTTCCAAGAGTTCACAGTAAGTTTGCCTCTCAAGGTGAATGAGTTCTTTCTCCAGAGAGGAAGATGAAGGCAGATTTCTAACGCATTTAGCATTAGCCTGAATTATGACAGTTGCTTGCAGAGACAGCAAGACAATGACGTTTGTTATTGTTCTAGAAAGGTCTTTAAGTGATCCTATAATTGGTAGAGATTTAGGATCATGAGACCTAAATACATCTGGAATATAGAAGTCCATGATATTAGATATTTTTAGGGGCAAGAAGTAAAATTCCAAATTTACTCCTCAATGGACAGCAAATGGGGATCTCAGGTCAATAAAATATTATATTTGCATATTTGAAATAATCTGTATATTTGTTGTCCATTTAGTGCTGATACCTATTTGCTTCAGCGGGGGCCAGCAACCTTTCAGAAGTGGCATGCCGCAGCGTACCTTCCTGTCCTGGGCCACGCTGCTCTCCTGAGGCGGGGGAGAGACTTTCTCCACCATGCGCCCCACTTGGTCTCCTACCCATAGGCGTGTGCAGCACATTTCATTAGGGTGTGCACCCAAATAATTTTTTAAAAATGCACTTTGACCCCCCCATTAGCCACACCCCTGACCCCTGCTAACCACGCCCCTGACCCCCATTAGCCATGCCCCTGGAGGTAACCCTCTCCGGGCAAGAAGTGTTATGTGACCCCCGATGCAAGGACTTTTCCCACCATCCTCCTACCAATAGGCTATGTCTAGACTGGCAATAAAATATTATATTTGCATATTTGAAAACTTTTCCGTTAAAAGCATTTGCGGAAAAGAGCGTCTAGTTGTCATGGATGCTTTTCTGCAAAAGCGCTTTTGCGCAAAAGCATCCGTGGCCAATCTAGATGCACTTTTGCGCAAAAAAGACCCGATCGCCATTTTCGCGATCGGGGCTTTTTTGTGCAAAACAAATCTGAGCTGTCTACACTGGCCCTTTTGTGCAAAAGCTTTACACAAAAGGACTTTTGCCCGAACGGGAGCAGCATAGTATTTCCGCAAGAAGCACTGATTTCTTACAGTAGGAAGTCAGTGCTTTTGCGGAAAAACTTGTCAGTCTAGACACAGCCATAGGGATTAGTCCCCACCAAGCTCTCCCCCCATGCAACTATCCTGCAATTGCATTAATCCAATGTGTGTGACATTAATGAGGGGGTGGAGAGGCTGGGGGAGGGGGCGTGTTCCCTCTAAGAGTTTCCTCCCATGAGCAGAATGAATTTTGTGTTGTGCACCAGTGCTGAATTCATGTGGCTTGTTTGGATGTGCCATTGTGGCACCCAAGTTATTAATCAATATCTACCTTTCCCCTCTGCTGCCATGTCTCCTCCCCTTGCTCCATCGACTCCCCTGGTGCCTGCTGCCCCCCGACTCCTCACCCTCCTCTGCTGTCCTGACTCGGACTCCTGCCCTTCTCACTGCCCTCAGCCCTCCTGAGACCTGCCCCCTTTCCACCAGCCCTTCTCTCCTCCCTGTGCCCACTCCTCCAGTAGCCCCACTCTGATCATGTGAACTACCCCTCCTCATCCCTTTGTCTAACACCTCCCTCACCTCTCTCCTCTGGTGCTGGTCCCTCCCCTGCAGGTGTTTGCCCTTCTGCTTCACCCCCAGAATCCCCTGGCACCTGCACCCTCCCTTAGCTCTGCACCCTCCTGGTGCCTCCCCCTTCTCTCACTGCCCCTGCCCCCTTTGCCCTTTTTTCCTTGATGCCCATCCCCTCACTACCCTCAAGGGCACTGCGCCGTGCTGGGTAGGGGCGTTCCCGGGCACCTCAGGGGCGCCGCATCGTGCTGCTGGGCCGCACGGTGCTGCTGGGCCGTGCGGTGTTGCTGGGCTGGGTGGGGCCCAGGGCGCAAAAATGGCTCAGGCTAGCCAGCCCGAGACATTAGAGTGTGCCTGGGCACTCCCGGTACACCCCGTGCGCACGCCTATGCTCCTACCCTGGGCTCCCAGGCAATGGGAGGCTATGCAGCTCTCGTGTTCCACCTCCCCAGAGCACTGGGGAAGGTAGGATGGAGAAGGCAGTGCGCACATTGCTGTGGAGGGGGGAGGAGCACTGTGCACACACTTCCTCTCAAGTCGGATCTCCCCTCACCAGGAAGCCGTCACTGGCTTCAATCTTGCAGGGGGCATAATGCTGGATCACCAGCACAGACTGCCCATTGCAGGTGGGAAGGAGCGAGGGGTAGCCCATTCACTGTGTGTGCCACTGCAAATCATCTTGCTTACCACTTATGGCACACATGCTGTACTTTGCTGACCCCTGAGCTCTACCAAGTCAGATGTTTGTTCTAAGCCTGAGATTTTTGTATGAGACTCTTGGAGACATATGGAGCGAAACTCAAAAGTATACAGTAGATATTCTTCCACTCAGATCAGACTGCCCTACATCTATTCACAGGTGTACAGAGTCCAAATCTGGGCTGACGATGTACTTGGAAGCAGGAAAAAGATATAAATTAAATTAAGGGCTAAGAGTTACTTAAACCTATATCTATACTACTACAGAAAGCTGACCCAAGCTACCCAACTTCAGTTATGTGAAAGATATAGCTGTAGTCAGTGTACATTAAGTGGAGTTACTGAGTGGTCTACAGAGTGAAGGGATGATGGAAGAAATTCTACATTTAACCTCCATTATTCTTTTAATCTGGGGTACAGTAATGGGGTCAATGGGGGAGTGATCTGTGATTAATTTGGTGGGTCTTCACTAAACCTGCTAAATCGACTGCTGGTGGATTGATCTCAGAGCATGGTTCCCCGCTGTAGTGTGGATGTAGCCTTAAACTACATACTCTTCCAATACCCTAGGATTTTTTTTCTCTTGCTGCTCTATTGTTCCAAGCCATTACATCACTCCAGCTGAGACTCTCTTGGACCTGATGGGTACTGTGAGTGGGGTGTTCATAAGTAAGCTGCATCCTGGTAAGTAGGTGTGAGTCTAAGGGCGTGTCTAGAAAGTGAGCTAGTGAGTGGGAGGCTGGGCTATCAATATACAAAGCACTAATTGGGTATGTGAACCCTGTACCTGTCCCGTGCACTCAACAAAAGTAGATCAAAGGTCACAAGGGAACTTTAAGGATGCGTCTACACTCTAAGCTAGGCATGTGATTCCCCTGTTTGCGTACATGTACTCACACTAGCTGTCATCAGGCTAGTGTGAATTTAAATAGCAGTGTAGCCTCAGTACACAGAATAATTTCTATCCCATAAACAGATTACAATAATTCATCTGAATATAGGCTTTAGTCTTGACAACAATCCATAATAAGCTTTTTTAAAATTCTCTGATTGCCTAAAATGATGTTAGGTGTATTACTGAGATTGAACTAGTCTTGTAGTGGTAGTAGAAGTGAAGATTCTGTGAGCCTAATACAGAGCTGAACCTAAATGAATATAAATGAGTTGAAGATGAGGAGATTTAGCTTCTGACTCGTCTATTTCCTACCCATGGCCTGATCCTTCTCTGACACCAATGTAAAGCAAAAGTAACTCAACTGATGTTTATAGCCCACTGATTTCAGTCTCAGTGCAGATTCTGCTACTGACTTCCTCTGTGACCATGGGCAATGCACTCTGTGCAAAACTGTTAAAAGCACTGAAGTGATTTAAGAGCCTAAGGAACATTTTCAAATGGGATTTAAGTATTTTTTGTAAATTTTGCCTATCAGCTTTCCGTGCCTTAGTTCCCAGACATAAACATTTCTCCTCTTTTTTGTCTTTTTAGAGTGTAAAAGGACACAAATAATTGCTTAGTATGTATTTTCACAGTGCCTAGCACAATCAGGCCCTGATATCAGCTGGACACTCTAGATATTATTGCAATATAAATAACTTACAATAATGGAGTTACAGCTGATCAAAAGTGGTTGTGTAAATTACAGAAGAGTGTGAATGGCAAGTGATATTTTAATAGTATGATCCATGTGCCCATGGGATGGAAAAAGAAGGGCCAATCTGTTAGTGTAGATTCTGTCAAAAATCTCATTTTTCAGTTTTTGGGATTTATTGCACAGTGTGAGCCTATCATGTTTTCCTCTATTTCGGAAAATATTTGGATTTTATTTAGCTTGTGGCATCATGAATCGTCCACAACAGATCACAATAGGTGTACGCCAAGGCTGCCTTCTTTCTCCATTACTCTTCCTGATTGTCCTAGACTGGGTCACAAAAACAGCATATGCTGACTCAGGAAGGGGACTCCAATGGACTCAAACTAGGAAACTTGAAGATCTAGAGTTTGCAGATGACTTAGCCCTGCTTGCAGACAAATTAGAGCATATGCGAGAGAAGACAGATGCTACAGGAAACAGCTGAGTGAGTGCGTCTCAAAATTAGTCAAGAGAAGACCAAGTTGATGCACATTAACAACAGACAAGAAGGTGAAATTACAACTGAAGGAAAAGCAGTGCAAGAGGTAGATCAGTTTGTATACTTGGAGAGTGTTATCAGCAAGAATAGGGGAACTGAAGAGGATATCAGTGCAAGAATACGAAAGGCGAAACAAGCCTTTGCCATACTACGATCAGTCTGGGGTACAAGAGCCATTTCAACAAGAACCAAACTACGTATTTTCACTTCCAATGTGAAATCAGTGCTGTTGTATGTTTCGGAGGCGTGGTGCGTTGTCCAGAGCAACACTAAGGGTACGTCTACACTTGCTCCCTAGTTCGAACTAGGGATGCAAATGTAGCCGACCGAAATTGCTAATGAAATGGGGATTTAAATATCCCGCGCTTCATTAGCATAATCTCGCCCGCACACTATTCCGCTCGCCAGCTGATTCAAACCAGGAAGTGCGCTCCGGGATGCATTAGTTTAAATCAGACCCCTTGGTTCAAACTAATGTTACTCCTTTTTGTTTCAAAGACACAGAATAGCTATTTTGGGATACCAAAAGTATCCTGAAAAAGCGCCGCAGTATAGACGTACCCTAAATAAGCCTTCAAGATTTCTGTGTTTTCTCTGTAAATAAACCTGTTGTTGGAGGGTATCCTTTTTTCCCCAGTGTCAAACCTGGAAGAGTTTTACACATTTTTGTTTCAGAAGATAGTTTGGAATGTTAGTTAACGAGGAACATAGTAATAAAACTTGGCATTTCTAAAGTGCCTTCCAGCCCAGGATCTCAAAACTCCTGAATAACTGTAAGGAAAACCTTACAACACCCCAGGAGCATTATAGCAGCACAGAATACTTCCTATTTATTGTGTCTTTGGGACTACAGAATTAGAGAGCACCTTTGCTGAGTCTACTACATCACCTCCTGTAGCAGTTTTGAGCATATTGAACATGGCACAGGGCCTTAAACTACATTCTTTCAAGCAATCTCTCAAACTGCAAGTCTTTGATTTAACTGCTATGTAGAGAAATATTCACTGTATCACAAAAGATTTTTTGCATTTCATTTGGTCCCTGTCTCAAGCAGGCAAGTAGCAGCAGGTTGTGTGCATTATATAGAATAGCAGAACTAGCAATATCCAGTTGGATTTCTGTTGTCATAAAAAAGCCTTTCTGCACATAGACTCTGCGCTCCCTTCTCCCCTCCCAGGATACCTCTCTCTTCTTGGTTGAGACAACAAGTTCCAGGAAGGATTGGTCTTCACCCCAGGAGTCAATTTCTGTAAGGTCATAGAGAACAGAGGTCACAGGGCCAAAGGACCACAAAGTGTGCTTTCGCTTCTGCATGAGGTGCTGAAACATCTGAGGAACAAAAAAAGGGACAATGGGAAGTCAATCAATGCCCAAGGACTTGTGCAGCTCACACTACACATATGCCAAATGGGTTCAAACAAGTTCTGGGCTAAAATTTGGTACTGGGTCTTTTTGCATTTTTCTTAGCTTTCAAAGGTTTTTGCTTCTGTAACAGTGACAAAATGGTTGTTACTTCATTAATAAACTCTACATCCAACCATCTGTCCCACACCCAGTGCTGAAGCCTGTCCTCATTCAGAAGGTATCTTTTTAGCACCTTCAAGCAAAAATAAAAATTACAAAAAAAGGAAATTTGGGGGTAAAATGTGCTCATTTATAAGAAAATGTGTGTGTGTGTAGGGAGGGGGTTGTGTTAATTAACCCTTCTCCTTCCCCACAAGTTCTACCAGTTTCACCCTTCGTCACAAATATTTTGCACATATCTAAGATGACACAGGGTGCCATTCTGGACATGAATGGACACTCAGCCTAATCCCTTGCCTAATGCGGTGACCAATAGCAAATATTCCGGAGAGAGGAATTAAGCCCCAATATTTCCATCTGTGTACTTTCATGTGCCTAGAAATTCAGTATTCCAGTCGGAGGGACTTTCCTTCTAATCCCTTTCTGATCATCAGTTGATGCCCTCTAGTAGGATTAATGGACATATGGCTTAGTCTAGCTAGCTGCTGTAAATTTTTCTCTCCCCATCTATTGAGAAAGAAAGCCTTTTTCGACAGATCCTGAAAACCTCCTTTCAGAAGGCATAAGGGATCCGTCAAAAAAGGCTTTCTTTCTCGGCAAATCTCCCTCTAGACTGCCACTTTTTGTCGAAAAAGTGCTGACTTTGCAAAATGTGGTGGCCATTTTTATGCAAATTAGGCACGGGATATTTCAACCCCTGCCTCATCTGCAATGTCAACCTACCTAATCTGTATCCCTCTGCCGACAGAGGGGTGCAGTCTAGACATACCCTAAGTGTCTACTCTGGTGCTGAGTTTGTGTCTCAGATTTGAGAGCTAGATCTGAATTTCATCCAAACTGGCCTTACCTGTTGGAATTGTACTAAGTTATTGGACTGAATGCCATCTTGGGACAATGGAATTCCACAGTTTAATTACAAGCTGGGCACAAGAAAAACTCCCTTTAATCTGTTTTAAAGGCAAGCTGAAAAGGGGAGGAGGGGAGAAGTGTTCTTATTCTAAATTGGTACATAAAAGGACTCCAGAACTTTGCTTGTTTGTTTAGGGGAAGTTTGGGTGATTTTCCCCCTATTTTGCTTTTATATTAAAAATTCAGTTCTTGTCTACACCATTTTTCTTGGAAGACTGTGGCTGACTGGAGAGCTACTAAATATTTGGCATCAAGAGTAATGAAGACTAGCAATGGAGAGGAGGGTGAGAAGTTCTCTGGTCTTCTGTGATGATCCCCAGCAAAGGAAGGAAGACATTTTCTATATCTTTTCTATACAATTAATAGGCTATATGGATGCCAGTCACCTGAGACAGAGAACAGTTGAGCTACCCATTTCTGAAAGCTTTTTCCTGTGAAGAACTAACTGTGTTGTGCACAAACTTACCACAGTGTTGCCTTCTACTCCAGCCAGTTTGAATGGAGTGAGCCCCTCATTGTTTGGGATTGAGTCAAGGGTTCCCAGACCCTCATCACTCTTGTCATAGGAGAGAAGCAGGTTGTACATCTGGCAGGCAAAAGTCTTGTTGGGCTGGAGAACAAGGATGTGAAGAACAGTGTTTCCTATGGAGGAAGCAATGCCAGGGTCATGATACATGATCCAGACTAGAACAGCTGATATCCATTAGCTGATTAAAATAACTAAGGATCATTGTCATGGGCTCCTGCCCTGCACTGGCCTAAGAAGAGTTAAATGCAGTCCCGAGAGAGGACTGGTGCTCGAGAGAGGACTGGTGCTGCAGAACAAGCAGCTGTGGCAGAGAGCAGCCAATTAGGGCCCAGCAGGGGCTGTGTAAATAAGGGCTCCTGGAGTGGAGGAAAACACTCACTCACTCACGCTCCAGCTGTAGAGCACACGGGACTAGGCTGCCAGGGAAGCTAGAGGCTTCCTGACACAGAGCAGAGCTGGGGAAAAGCACGTAGAGCTGGGGAGCTCTGAACTCTGTCTTGACCCCACTCCCAGGCTGCAAGGCCAGAGGGTACCAGGGCTGCAGGGAGGCAGTCAGGGTAGCAGAAGGCATCAGGTCCACGCCTCTTGTATATGATGAGCGGCCATTCCCTGAGTATGGGGCTAGATGAAGACTGACAGTGGGATACTGAAGTGAGGTGGGCCAAGGGGTTGGGGCAGGTCTAGCCTTAGGCTGCTTCAGCCGATTCCCCAGCGTGGGGCCCCAGGGAAGTGACGCATGTGCCGTACACCCGGGGGCCACGCATGCGTTGTACTCCCAGGGCACTGCTCATGTGTGGGTGCACAGTGCATGTGCCATGCCGCCCGGGGCCCCGCGCACGTGCGGTCCCGCCCCCGGAATTGGGCCTCACGCTCTGTAGAGCCAGCCCTGGGCCTGGGGGTTCCCTGAGGGGGAGGATCCCATAGTGTGGGGGCATTGCAGCAGGGCAGTACCCAGAGAGGAGCGTGCTGCAGTTTGGGAGGGATGTGAGTCCTAATGTAAGGTAGCAGAACCATTAATGCATAAGTAGGTGAGACATGTGCTGGAAGGGAGCACTGCAGCGCTGAGCAGAGCTGATTCCCAAGTGACCAGCAGGAGGTGCCGTGGTGGTGAATTGCACCATATTACAAGCATATAAATGATTGATAACATTAACGACTTCTGGTATTTCCTGCTGCCCTCCGTCCCAGGGACTGTAGTGTGTATATGGCAGAACCTGGCCACATACAAGTCACTTGGCCTGTGCAGAACTTACCCAGAGAGTCTTGTGCTCTGATGTCAGCTCCATTTTCAATGAGCAGCCGGACAATCTCCTCACTCCCCATGCAGGCAGCAAATGACAGAACATGCTCCCCTGAAGAGGAAGCAACAGAGGGGAAATAAGACTCAGATCACAGGGAAATAAGTACATAAGCCAGATGGGGACACATATGGGAATCTATCCAGGCTGATCAGTCTGGGTATGTCTACACTTGCACCCTATTTCGAAATAGGGATGCAAATGTAGGGATTTGAAATAGTAAATGAAGCCGGGATTTAACTATCCCATGCTTCATTAACATAATTGTGTCCGGGTGCTTAGACGCAGCCAGGGTGTTTTATTTTGAAATAGTGCCCGGATGCGATTATGCTAATGAAGCACAGGATATTTAAATCCCGGCTTCATTTACTATTTCAAATCCCTACATTTGCATTCCTATTTTGAAATAGGGTGCAAGTGTAGACATACCCCTTGAGATTGGGAAGGGAAGAAAATTACCCAGTTCAATAAATGCCACCCCTCAAAAAGTCATATAGCTGAAGTGAAACACATTCCCTTCCTGAAAGTAACAGGAGTATCACAGCAATGGGAGACTTAGGCTTTACGAAGGGACACTGTTTAGCTAGATGACAAGTGAGAGAGACCACATGAATTACTGTTATACTGCTAGGATGATTTGTGTATAAAATGAATGGGAGTGTCTGAGAACTGGCAGCCCTGGAGAGCAGAGCCCTATATTTATTTAGAGAGGGTATAGCATGGGCCACATCAGTACAAGCCTTCCCCACATTCCCTCCATCACTCGATCCTCTACTAAGCTAGGAGGAGAAGAAACTCAGTCTGTCCTGGGAACTGCAGACAGGGTCGTACCAAAGTAGATGAGGTTCTGGGCACTACGCCTGAAGAAGAGTCCAGTGGCCCGTGGGCTAGAGACATTGGCCCCCTTCTTGAGCAGAGCCTTCACCAGATTAATGTTCTGATTCACTGCAGCGATATGGAGAGCTGTCTGCCCTGCAACAAACATGTACCCATATAAAACACATCCTCTGGGAAATCCATCTCCAGACATTAAAGCAGAAACCTGTAATCTGTGTGTATGTTGTGAAGTTTAACTGACATGTGCCAGAAAGAGTTCTGTCACTTGCCAAAAAGATGCATAGGCTGGGTTTTGTCCTGGTGGAGACAGAAGAGACACTTGGGCAGCTTGAATGATGGCTTTCAGAGGGGCAGAGATGTGCCATGTGACAAGTGGACTGAGAATCCAAATGCTCACAGCAAGACTGTTATCTCTTGCAGGGGATGTATAGAAGGTTAAGCCATGACTTGATAGGGATACTGCCTCCAATTCTCAAGACAAAGATGAGGTAAAAATCTCTTTAAAGAAAACCTATTTTAGAGAGGGCTATTGTTGTTTTGAATCCTCACTTT